ATATGTGTAGCAGGGTAATGACAGAAGTCATTGAGTGTTTGATAAATGTTTAAAATCACTTAATAATCGCCACGTCTTGTTTAAGATTTGGTGTGCAGGTATCATTATTATTTTTTCTATTTTCCATGCAGACAGCTGCGGTGTGTTACGGGGCGAGTGCGAGGATCCAGATTCGGAGAAACCCAAGCAGCAGAGGACCCGGAGGAAACCGCGCGTCCTCTTCTCCCAGGCTCAGGTGTTCGAGCTGGAGCGGCGCTTCAAGCAGCAGCGTTACCTGTCCGCCCCGGAGAGAGAGCACCTGGCCAGCTCCCTGAAGCTCACCTCCACCCAGGTCAAGATCTGGTTCCAGAACCGGAGGTACAAATGCAAGAGGCAGCGGCAGGACAAGACTCTGGAGATGGCAGGTCACCACCACCACCACCATCACCCACCACCGCCGCCCAGGAGGGTGGCTGTGCCGGTGTTGGTCCGGGACGGGAGGCCTTGTCTCAGCGGATCCCAGAACTTTAACACGTCCTACACAGTGGGAGCTCCAAACCCGTACAGCTACAGCTACCCAGCCTACAGCTACAACAGCTCGGTGTACACGAACACTTACTCCTGTACTTACTCTAGTTTACCTGCTCTGCCGCCCAGCAACACCACTGCCAATGCTTTTATGAACATGAATTTGGGAAACCTTGGCTCACAGACGCAGAGCCAGGCTCCCCAAGGACCAGTCGTCACACCCTGTCAAGGAACTCTGCAGGGCATACGGGCATGGTAGCGCAGTGTCTGTGCGCAACCACAACTGGGATAGACTCCTCTGGGATGGCTGAATTGACTTATGCACCCAAATCCAATCAACTGATGCAAGGAAAGCACAATTCACAAGTGTAACGCGTTACACAAAGTACAGACAGTGAGGGAACCCTGACCCCACAGACGGAGAGACAGAATATGCGCCTCTTTCTCTGAGCCAAAGTAGAAAAGACGTTTTGAAACCTGCTGTTGAATATTTGATTGTGTTGAATGTTGTCGTTGAACAAAGACTGTACGTTTGCTGCCTGTTGTGGTTCAAAACGTCGAAATTTTTATAAAAACATGTTTGCTGCACACAATAATCAGACTGGACTCATTGAATTTAAACTCCAAAATGCATCGGAATGATCAACATGGACCATAACAATGCAGTCTTACAAAGTATTATGTTTTCTTTGTGACAGTGTGATGTGTTTTGTCATGAAAATGATCAGTGATTATGAAATTAAATGATGAATTGACAATTTTGCTTTGTGCTTCCTGTGTGTGTGCGCGCACTCTTTTATTGTCTTAAAATGCTTAAAACCACAGAACCCAAACACACATTTTTATAAAAGTGCACATTTTCGTGCGTTTATTATACTAAAGGGTGCACGTTACATTTCAACATTCATATGCATGTGAAAAAAGAAAACTCAAATAAATTGATGTTGAGTTCTGAGAGCATGTAGTTTCTCATCGTCTCGAATTGTTTGTCAAGCCAAGAAAGTTTTTTTTCTCTTCTTGTGAGAAAAGCTTGTGATAGACTTTGGTCTGAGACAAGAACCAGAAACAGGGAGAACTCAGAGGCGACCTAATGTCCGGCCAGGATTCACAGATGGACATTAACCAGACAACCAACATCCTCGGGACCCACAGAGAGAATAAACTCAGAGATTTGGATGATAAATATTGTTGCAAAAGGTTCTCTCGGTTGAAATATATCATTCCTAATTCTAAAAATATAACTAACCATCTA